GCACCATCAGCCGTGAGGCTCTGCAGCCCCTGGCTAGCCTGCAGGTCCTGCGCCTCACAGGTACCTCCCTCTGGGGCGAGGGGTCACACGCAGACATCTTTCCTGGCCACAGTGCTGGCAGTGAGGAGTAGGCCTGGGTGTGGACGGGCTCCAATGGCAGTGGCTCAGAGTTGCAGACCACTGGGCAGCATTCTGGCTACACCACCACCAGCAGCCATGACAGAATGCTGCTAGGAATGTGGGTGCTAAGGGGCACAGCTCGGCGACCCTGTATAAAGAAGACAGGAAAGACAGAATTCGCTGAACAGAATGGACAGAGTTGAGGGGCTTGCATGCTTTGGGGCCATCAGAGGATAGGCAGACAGAAACTGGAGACACCAGGACTAGAGGCATTTCTGGGAGACAGCACCTGAAGGGGAAGCTGACAGGATCCACAAAGTTCAGAGCTGTGAGATGTCTATGTGGACGCCAGGCTCCCCAACATAGGAGACTCACTGCAGGGACACTGCAGGGGCAGGAGTTCCTGTAGAGATCAGTGCCACAGGATGAAAGGTGGAGGGGAGGGCCTGGCCATTCTAAAGAGCTCGCGGTCAGAGAAGGGGTGGCAGGGGTCCCGATTCTGGGAGGTGGCACAGGGGGTTCTGTTCTGGCCAGCAGAACCCCAGCTGCACGGGCTGTGATCTGGGACCACCCGCCCACCGCTGCTGTGCCCACAGAGAACCCATGGCGCTGTGACTGTGCTCTGCACTGGCTGGGAGCCTGGATCAAGGAAGGAGGCCAGAGGCTGCTCAGCCCCAGGGACAAGATCACGTGTGCAGAGCCCCCACGCCTGGCACTTCAGAGTCTCCTGGATGTATCTGGCAGTAGCCTCATCTGCATCCCGCCTTCTGTGCACGTAGAGCCGCTGGAAGTGACAGCCAATCTGGGTGAGGACCTGCGGGTTGCCTGCCAGGCTTCCGGCTACCCACAGCCCCTGGTAACCTGGAGAAAGGTGGCCCAGCTTCGCGAGGGACACCCGCGGGCCCAGGCCCAGCCAGAAGGCGGGGCTCCGGGCCCAGGCGGGCCCGGGGCCTCCGACACGGGCAGCGGCATGCTCTTCCTCAGCAACATCACCCTGGCCCACGCTGGCAAGTACGAGTGCGAGGCCTCCAACGCCGGCGGCGCCGCCCGCGTGCCCTTCCAGC